AACATCAATGATTAATAATGAAAAATGAATATCAGCTGCTAAACTTGTTAATCAATTACATTTTTTTTCCGATTAGATATATACTTAATATGGATGCTACGATAAAAAGTGATGATGAATCATGTATTAGTGTTAAATGTGCTATACCAATATTTCTATCATATTTATAAACAGTTTGATCCATTTGATTACCTTATTGAAAGTATGTTTAATGTTTGCTTGAGGCTTCTTTTTGTAAAGTTCCACTACAGTAAAATAGATCTATTTTATGATCCAAAATTATTTCTAATGTCGTAACAGTAGGAGGGCTTAGGTGAAGGGGATTGTGGCAGAGTTTAGTTGATGTCGCTTTAATTGGTTAAGGTCTCAAAGTTTTAGTGAAAGTTATCTGATAGATATGACAATTTCACTATTAAATTGTTGAAACATATATATATATATTGGAATCTGAAAATTCAAGAACGAAGATTTCTGAATATTGATTCAGCAGCTCTAGTTCTATTCCTACTTTTAATTTTTTTGAAATCAACAAAAGACTAGAACCTTATCAGACTCGAAACGATATCAAGTAGAACACTTTATTAAAGCTCAAAGCCTGCATTTATACATCAGAGATTGTATAATTTCAATCACACAATTACCTCAAAAAATAGTTCTAAGCCGAAGTTCGAGATATGAAATCAATTGTATCCTCTAAGAAGTTTTTCATTAGTCTTTGAAGACTTCTGATTAAATATAGTTTTGTAATTGATATGAAATTTCCTAATAAGAAAAATGAAATTCTCATCTCTATATGACTTGAAATACATTAAAATTTATCGAACATCAAGGTATCTTATTTTTTCCTTTCTTTAAGATATTACATATCTTTTATCTTTATGTGAACATGGTGATCTACATTTACGTGGTGCATGTGCAAGTTTACTTGCTACATTAATTCAAACAACAATTCATCTTTTATTAAACAATGTTCACTTGTATCAACTGATTCACAAGACAGTTCAAGGTTATATGTCTTAATGATAATAATGCACGTGTTATACATGTTTCACTAAATGCTTTACGAACATTATTACCTTTTTTTATTAATTAATAGTCATGCATTTACAATCATAGGAATTAAATTATTAGAAGATTCTATTCAACATACTACAAGTTCCTGTACTCTTGCTAAAGTAGATAAAAGAAATTTATGATTATAATAATTTTTTTTTTGTATGTATATAAAATAGTTTGCGCTAGCTCAACTTATAGATGATATTGATTTTCGAATATTAACTTATCTTGAACAACAATTAAAGCAACAGTACCCTGATATACGTGTTCGTCAAGCAACTGCTTCGACTTTTGCTAAGTATGTATTTTGTAGAGATAATAACTACGTAGCTTTTTTCGAATTTGGATGAATAAGTCGATTTTATTGCATTAAGTTAGTTATTAGGTACTTTTTGATTTTAAGGTTTTGTTGATCACAATTCATTTTTACCATGTCAATGGATATATAAAATTCATCATTCATTACACGTTCAAGCATCAACTCGAATACAAATTGTTTGTCATTTTTGTCTTTTATATAGGTTGGATGTTTGGAAGATATTAATGTTCTTTCAAATGTTTTAAGACCAACAACAATTCGACCAATTTTTTCATAATCAATATGATGAACTTCGTTTATTTATAATTTTTTTTTAAACATCCCTTTATATTACATGATCTTAATAATTTAATCTTTTCAAGTAAAGAGAAAAAAAGATATTTATTATGTTTTTTTTTTGAATTCTTTCTTTTTATTTGAAGATTTATCAAATCTCAACAAATGAACTATTCTATTACCATTCTCGAATTATTGCAAAAATATGCACAATCATCATTCTTTTGAACAGAATATAGTTGATATTTCAGTTTTCACAGAAGAAGAGAGTTCCAAAGTTTTAGATTTGAAGAATATATTTGATCATGTCTTATCTAAAGGAATTCATTTGTTTTCTCTTTTTAAAGAGAATAATAAAGATTCATCAACAACATCGAACACAAACAAAGTTAAGAAAATTAATCATACACAATTAGGTACTTTTGGAAATTATTCGAATTAATATGTTCATCATATCAATTACATGAAAGTTTCTTAAATTCATCAGAAATGATTATTATTGTCTATGAAATCAGTTTTAAGTCTTCTTTCTACACAAGATTTATCCAAAAAATTTGGAAGAGAAACACTTAATTATTTTAAATCAACATTCAATGTACACAAAAGGTAACTTCTTTTAAATAGAAAATATTTATTGTAAAGAAAATTTCAATTATTAATCTTCTTTATTTATTGGTTAAGCTAAAACCTTTAGGATGTTGTATTGTGTTTGAAACTTGTCTATGGATAAAACTTTAGATGGAAATCTTATAATGAAGGTTTCTGAAAGGGTCTTTCCTAGAGAAGGAAAATTTCAATATAAGAATGTCATAGTAACAGAAAAACTGATTTTACGAATATCGATGATCTTAACTAGAGTAATTTTGTTGTGAAAGTGTCAGATCTTTTGATTTGGTTCTATCTTGAAATTCGAATATTAAATCATCTAGTTGACGTGAGCGATCTGCAAGACACACTATCAATTCGAAATTTGAAAATCATTGTTTTCTGTTAACACAACATTCATTTAAAAATATACTTTTAATTTAGTTTTTATTAAATCTTCAACTGTTTCTTCACAAGTATCATTAAATAATTCTTTAACTTATATTCATACAATAAATATTCGACAATCGATAATTTATTTTATTTGGTTCATGTTATGCATCAAGTATAAATAGTGCAATACGAGAGTAAAATAAACAAAAAAAATGAATTTGATCTATTCTGTTTTTTTGTTTTCTATTTTTTAGTTTTTATTGAACTAAAAAAAATTAGTCTTAAAAAATATATTAATACAAATGAAAGTAATTTACAAGCTGCTGTACTCGATTTACATGTTCAATTACTTTTAATTCGTGTTAATTGTAGTTAATTAGAAGCTGATGAAATTCGTTGCATTTCTAATCGTTTCGTTTATTTTTAAATAGCATTTTATTTATTGTATTGCTGAATTTCTTGTTATGTTATCACATGATACACTTCATTCAAAACGAGTTGCTAAAATACAAGATTTAATAAAACATAATGATTCATTATTAGCAAGTGGACAGGAACCTGAAACACATGGTAGGAAGCAAAAAAAAACATTTTCGAGAAAAAGAAATTATCGTTAAAATTCTTTATTTAGCTTTAGCAGCATTAGAACCAGTTTTATATGATTTTTTTTCTTGTTCGAGTTATGCGAATAATTAAAATTCCTAAAAAGTTTTATTAAATGAGAGTGAACAAAAAGTGTCCTTCTATAAAGTCTCAAATATCTTAGAAACTCGAGAGGGTGTGAGTGTGGGTGTGTAGATGTAATTTTTCTCCTCGATTGAACCCACACCCACACTTCAACGAATTGATGATCTGAAAATAATCATCTTGTTGTTATGTATTTGAGTTTGAAGGAAAACTAGGCATCTTAATTATTATAAATAAAAGTATCTTTTCATGTCATGTGTATGTACTGAAAAAATAATAATAGAATTTATATTGTTATAGGCTTTACGATTGTTCACAGTTTTTGTTAATAGTGTTCAAATTGAAGATGATAAATGGAATCGTCTTTCACGATAAATTGTCGATTTACTTCTTGCTCATTTACAATCTCAGGTTATTTTTTTGTTTTAATAGTCTCTGATTTTACGTTAGTTTTTTTTTGTTCAAATAGAATCAATCACTTTTGGATATTTATTCCACACAATTAACACTATTTGATGTTGCTTTTCGAGCATTAGTAAATAGATATGTCCGTTGTTTTTATTTATAAAATCTTCCTGTAGCTTAAAATTCTTTAGAATGTCAATTGTCAATCTACAAATCGATAATTAATCAATATAAATATAATACTTCGATATCTTGTACAAAATTTAACTGAAGATGCTATATTAACACGATAGAATGATGTTTTATTATCAGTTAATGGAACATGAGATGAAACTTATTGTGCGTAAATATTCGAAATGATTTTATTTATAATTTAAAAACTATTATTCTCGTTTTTGTTTTCAGAGATCTTCTTCGTGTCTTACATGACATAATATTATGATTTTTAACTAATACTCGACAATTATGTGGTCAAATCAATATGACATTAGGTTCTCTTGCATCCGATTATCTTTATGTACATATCACCCATTAATTTGAAGATAAAACTTTCCTGCAATTCATTAATTACTAATGACCTAGCGAAAAACATTTGACGTTAAAATTCCTATGCTTATATAAGATCTATAATTTTATTTTAGTTAAACAATTTCGAACAATTGTAAATGATTTTCATCAATTATGAATTCATGATGAAACTCTACATTGTCTTGAGACATTTTCGTATTGAACTATTTTAAATGAATGTTTTAAATTATTATGATCATCATTTTATATCTCACTATTATTACAATGGACACATATTCTGAACATGCTTGATTATACACAAGAAGCATGCTGGTCACCAATATTAACAGCATCATCATCAAGAATACATTTATCTATCAGTGGTCAATTACAATCTTATTGTGATTTAATATATCATCATGAATTATATGTTGAACATTTTACATCAATAACAACACATTATCAATTATTATTATTATTTTTTATTTTATCTTATACATCATACATCAGTTGCAAGTCATTTATTTTTTTTTGTGAAAGAATACATTTAGATGAAAGTGGTCTTCTATTAGTTTTATTAGTTGAACAATTCCTTCCATTATCATTAAATAAACAATTATGACCTAAATATATACCATAAATTTTATAAATATTATCAATAACAATATCAAACGATATTATTAAAGAAGATTTTAATAATCTTAATTGTCCTATGGATATAACAAGAAAAATTTATGAACAAATGCTTAAAAATATAACTTATAAAAACTGATTACCATTTATGATGTCATCGGTATATTTTAGTTTAATTTATCGAAATAAATAAATATATATGTAT